AATAGGAAATTCCCTCTTCGTTCGGTTGAGACCTAGTTCCAAAATAAAATATACATCTCAACGAACAAAAAAAAAAAAAAAGTGAGTTGAAATAAATACAAGAAAAATATATATGGATAGGTAGACATGGGGTCTTGAATTTTTGTGAAAGAAGCTAGTTGATTCGAATTATGAATAGGAAGTTACAAAAATAAGAAACAAATACATTGATATGAGAAACTTGCCGCAATTTGGAAAATGAAAATGTTGTAGGCAATTGACGGCGAACACATGACAACCAGCGAGAGGGAAACACGTCACTCGCTTGCTACCCAAACTGTCGACCAATAATCGACGCACATGTCGTGAAGTGATCCGACGACCTGTTGTCTAACTCGACGTCTACTGCCAACTCCTACATGCCACATGGGCACCAACAAAAGTCAAAGTGTAAGTTTACATCTACTAGTACTCATAGGACATCTGTGCCTACGCGCTGCTTTTGAGAAAATAATCCATTATGAATCATAAAACTCGTGACTTGTGCATATGATTTTGAGGAATTTCTCTTCCAAAAGCTTTAAGATGGATGATACTTACTCTTTATCTTGAACATGATATTTTTTTAATTTTTATCTAAATTTCAGAACTTCTCATACTAATTTTCCTATTTCTATTTTCAAAAAATTCAACTCACAAAAAAATGAAGTCACTTTTTTGGTATTTTTAAAAAATCAACTTTTTTCGGGTGAAGGCAAGTGTCTACTAGACAAGTGATGCATTGGTTATTATGGTTTGGACAATTCATTGTAGTCCGCTTCCACATTTTCTAACATTTTTACTCATTGGGGTCAAAATATGTTACTTTGTTTAGCTTTTCATTTGACTTCGTAGAGTTTTTTTAATCAAAGTTTTTGTTGTTTGATTTAAAATTAGTCTCATATGCTATTAAGTTTTCTTAGATTCCAAAAAAAATAATATCAGCTTTTTTTGTAAATGTTCTAAAGTCTAACTATTTTTACTTGAACTTGTATTAAAAGCTTCCCAGATATGTTTGTAACAATAACACGAGAAAAGTATTTTCGTTACTCACGTTAACTATTTTTTTAATTTGCCAAAAAATATTCTCACTTTGATGACCTTCACCAAAGTGTTTATCATGACATTTGTATCACATATCCAGGGTTTGACTCTCGGACTTTGACTAAAAAGACGAAAGAAAAAATAAAAGTAAAATAAAATAAAAGATGAAAATTTGATTAAATTTGAATCCAAATAATGTCAACAACACCAAAAGTATATGCAAAATTAAAGCAAGATTGTGTTGTCTAAAATATTACAAAGGAAAAACGAGTTTCGGGTACCATTATAAATCAAAATACCAAAGACTCCAAAATTTAAAAGTAGACTAACGCTTCGCAACAACCCTCTCTATGACTGCACAGTTCTCGAATGCTTATCCATCTCGACCAACAACATGTGAACAACTGAAAAAGAAAGTTAAAAGGAGTGAAAATAAAAATATACTCAATAAGAAACCTATTTATAGTCTCTCATCCCATCCTTAACGTAGTAGATATCCACACACTATTCTCTAGGCTTTAGGAAGTTTGAGCATCTGGGTACTTTAGCTGCTCTTGATCCAATCTTGGTACGGAGAGGGTGGTTCACCAATTTCTACCATTGCAGATCTGTTAGGTGACAAATCTTATCTCTAGATTGAACTACTTTTCTTGTTTTTAGACTTAGGTAGCTTGCTCTGCCTAAGCACAAAGTAACTGATATTCTTGGTCGAGGCGTCTAGTTGAGATAGCATGGTAAGTGTTTGCCTGCTCTCATCATCCATGGGAGGTTAGTTGGCGAACCCTACCCACAGGACAATCAAGTTACCCAAGGTTAGGGAAGTGATCCCCTATGCTTGTCAACTACTAAGATTACCCGCATAATCCTACATCCCCTCTCTTGACGGATTTATTATGCAAAATAATCAAAATGAACTATTGTTCACACAATCCTAGTTGGCCTAGGCCGGGCTCGACAGTACTTGTACCAAAGTGAAAAAGGAAGTTGAAGCAATGTTGACGGCTTAGATGCGACCTTTTCTTGCTTATTTGTACCATATGTCTATTTTTTGACCATGGCAACTTGTTTTACTTATGCAGTGAATGATCAAATACCTGGGTTGAGGCACGACCTCATATAATTCCGACGATACAATACAGTGATTTCTAGTCTTAACATCATCGAAAGGAGGTTGGTTGGTTTATTGCTTAGGACAATAGAGTCAACTTTGTTTGGGGGATGCGATTCTTTTGCACTACCCAGCTACTAAGCTATTTGATGTTGTCCCACACTCCCCTTTAAAGAAAAGGTTATCAACAAAGTGGTCGGTTCAAAAGACTACGGGCCATTCAGCGAAATAGAAGCTCAAACTACCCTAACTAGCATGAGCCTAGCTCAATAGTACTAATATTGGAGTGGAAAGGATATCGAGGGTCTGAAGATAGTGTAGCGTTCACGCTGCTCATAGCCTAGATAGTTACCTTGGTCATTCTTTGGAGTCGTGGAGGTCTACTATTTTATTAGAGGGCTTCTAATCACATGTTTGGGTAAACACAAGTCTAGATTTTTTTTTATCACCGCTCACTATCCTAGGTATTTAGTCCACTAGAAGTCTATTGACCTTGGTCAACATGTAAACTGCACAAGCTATCGCGTCCTAATCTTATCAAGGTTCTCTAGTGCATGTTTTTTAGGGAGATAAACTTACTGATCACCTAATGGATAAGATAACATAATCTAAACATCATTTGGGTCATTCCTGTGAGTTGAGAAGGTCTATTGGATTCCTAGCGAGGCTATGTGGCTTAACGTAGACTTCTAGGACAGGATTTCTTTGTTTAGACTCCTCCAATCTTTCTTAGTATGGGAGCGCTTGGGGCGCTCACGATCCTACGGTGCTTAGTCTATTGGAGGCGTCATGACCTAGGTCATCATTAGCGAACCTAAGTCTAACGCTCTAGCTTTGTGTCGATAAACATGCTCTACAAGGAGGACACACAGTCAAACACCTTGAGCTAACATACGAGCACAAAAGTTCAACAAGGAGATTGTTGGATGATGAAAGTCCCACATCAGCTAATTTAGGGAATGATCATGGGTTTATAAGTGAGGAATACTAACTCCATTGGTTGAGGTCTTTTGGGAAAGCCCAAAGCAAAGTCATGAGAGCTTATGCTCAAAGTGGACAATATCATACAATTGTAGAGAGTCGTGTTCATCTAACGTGGTATCAGAGTCATGCCCTAAACTTAGCCGTGCCAATATATTGGCAAATCCTCGAATGTCAAACAAAGGACTCCAAAAAGAAAAAAGGAGTCAAGCCTCGATTAAGGGGAGGCGTGCTTTGTTCGAGGGGAGGTGTTGGATGATGAAAGTCCCACATCGGCTAATTTAGGGAATGATCATGGGTTTATACTAACTCCATTGGTTGAGGCCTTTTGGGGAAGCCCAAAGCAAAACCATGAGAACTTACACTCAAAGTGGACAATATCATACCATTGTGGAGAGTCGTGTTCATCTAACAGAGATAACATCTATCAATCACCTAGAGCACAAGTTGCTCTTACGAAAACGACATTCATCCGAAATTTCATCATAGGGGCATTTTAGTAATTTCTTACCCCATGCATAAGATTCTCATCCATATTACTCAATTTGTACTTCAATCATGCATATAATACATAAAAAAACACACACACATACATTACATACTCATAAAAAAAAAAAAAAACATTTCTCAGGTCCTTAACATGTATTTGTGACCAACTAAGTTAAGGAATGCTAGCATGTCCTAGCGAGTTAAGGAATGCTAGCATGTCCTAGCGAGTTAAGGAATGCTAGCATGTCCTAGCGATCCGTACAAGTATTACTTGCCTAAAGTCTCTATGGTTACTTACTTGAATGACGCGTGCCTTCTTGAGCTAGCTATTCCACGTGTTTGGAGCTCAATAATTCATGAAATTTCTCTGGTAGATCCTAATAATTCAAGCATAATTATGTTATATCAAAATCAAGATGAAAAACTGGCAAACGGAGGTCGAACGAGACAAAATAATACTCACATGCACTTACACACGCCGACAAAGGCTTTTCACGTACAATTTCGCACACGAAGGTTTTTTGTAGACCTGGATAGTCATGGAGTCATTAGATCAGGTTTAGGTTGCATTTTTTTTGTTAGGGTCGAAGGTTAACGAGTTGCACATGCAAGTCTTATAAGATGTCTTTGTAAGCCATTTTTTCTCGAATATTGTGTTGGTCAATTCTACTGTGCTTTATCTAAAGATATGATTTTTGAACATATTACTAATACATTATTGCACATAGATATATATTATTTAATGTGCTTTTTATGTATAATTTTCATTTTTTAATATAATTTCTATTAAAGACATATACAGAAATATATATTATTTATTAAGTAAATAAAGAAAGAAATATATTTGTATAATATAAATATATAAAAATTAGTTTTTAACCTTACTTTTAATACAAATTCATATATATATATAAAGTGAGAAGGACGGGGCAATGATTTGGTGGGGTTGAGAGCATAGACAGATGGAGAATATAATTCCCTCATCCAGCTTCATTTAACTAACAAAACAATCTTCACATTCCCTCCCCATTTTTCATTTAAATAGGAATAGATTAACCCGATTAAGTTATTATCATTAGCCAAAAGATCAAAAATTCAAATCTTTTATCTCTGCCCATTTTTAAACTAAAACGAAGGTATATTAATAATTATAAAAACCAAACATCTCTTTGTGATCATGTTTTATGATTATGTTTCATGGTAGATTATATCAGATAAATCCTTCCAAATAAACATGTGTTAAAATAGAGAAGAAATCATTTTGAAACTCGAAAAGAGAGTAGATAGAGTTAGAGTAGGTCACTAAAATGCAATGATGTTGCCAGAAACTGTAGCCATGGCAATGAGAATCCTCATCTCCCTATTCCTCTCCTCTAATGGGCTTTGTTTCTGAGGTGGTGTTGTAAATTACGCTACAACTCTCCTGTTCTTTCGGGGCAATCTTCTCAGCCATCAACATGCTTCTATAATCCTTTTTGAAGAATAACTCAATTCCTTCTTGAAATGCTTTACTCACTACCTTGTATGCATTTTCACAAACTATAAGGTGGTTCTTCAATGCAAGATCAGTTGTCGATGGCAGAAGCTCTTGAATATACCTATTAAGAAAACAAGTATTTATCGTAACCTATCAACTTAAATGCTTTTAAATTTTTAGATTTTATTTATACTTTTAATAAGAATACTTGCTTGCATTGCCAGTGGTTTGGACCATTGCTATTTGGGTTAATTCTATATTATCTGTTGGACCCTTCAAATTCTCAGGGAAGGTTTGGCGACCGAATCCAAATTCCTCCCTTTGATGGCGCAACTTATTGATCCTCTCCTCAGTTTCATTATCGGCCCTAGTTGATAGAACCGCAAGGAAGACGATGAAAAAGACAAGCAACGACTGAGAAGATAAAAATAAAAAATAAAAAATCATGAAAATGCCAACAATATTAACGTAACTAATTATAGAAAAATAAATAAATAAAATGAAAACTTTATATTTACCTGCATTTTGTATTCTTAGTTCATATAAAAAAATATATATATTAAGAAAAAATTCACAAATGTTCTTTGTCTTATAAAAATAGAAGAATTTGCTCTTTATATAGTTGTGGAAGTGGAAGGTGTGGAAGTTGATATTAAAGTTCAAAATTCTCTAAAATTCTTCTATTAATTATAATTAAACTTAATATCATAAATCTTAAAATTATTTTTTTAAAAATAATTAAACATCCCAATTAGTTTTTATAAATAAATTCTAAAGTTTTTAATTTTATATATTTATGAAAGACATTCTTGGTTGTTAATTCACTTTAAAGGTGTGTTGATCCAAACATAATTGAGAGGATATGACATTTGTTGGATCGGTATGGCAACCCTAGAGGGGGGGTGAATAGGGTTTTAACGATAAAAGTGTTTAAACTTGATTAATTTTTCTAATGATAAAACTTTTTACAAATAAGTAGAAGATGATAATTACTAAAACAAAATAATTCAAGTCAAAACAATAATCAAGTAGAACATGCAATAAACATAATAATAATCTTGAAATTGAATAGGAAAGAGTTAGAGAAAATGACACCGTAGTTTTATAGTGGTTCGGTCAAACTCGACCTACTCCACTCCCCAAGCGCCTCTTGGGAATTTGAATAAAGAACTTTTCCGACTCTTTCCACGGATCAGAGCCAAACCGGTACACCGCTCTTTTTACGAGTTCAAGAGCAAACTCAATCCTTTCAACGACGCAGGATCAAACCGATACAAGTATTTGAGTTTGATAATAACACACCACAACTCTCTCAAAGAGTAGATTTACAATTTGGGATACTGACAACTATTTCCTCACAATATAATAATAATCCCTCTCAAGAATAAGATGAAAAGAAATAAACTTGTAAGCTTGGAGAGAGCAATAAACAATGGAGACTTTGAACAAATGAGGATTGAAGAATGTATGTAAGTTGTATCTTTTAAAAATGTGGGGAAGATGAGTTTATATAGAGGAGAAAAGTGGCAAAATGTAGGATTGAATATTGACCATTGGATTGTGTTAGGAATAATGGAAGGTGGAGATTAAAAGTAATTAAGTAAGAAAAATTTCTAAATTCATTTATTTCAAAATTTTAATATAATAGTAATATAATATAATAATAATAAAAAGTTATGTGAGTAACGGTAAAATGTAATTCAAAATTTATTATAAATATAATAATATAATAATAATAAAAATGATGTGAGTAACTACCAAAATTTTAAAATATAATAATATAATAATATAATATAGTAATAATAAAATTCGATGTGAGTAACGGTTATATTCAAATTTATATTTGTAAAAATAATTTTATTTAGAAATGTAATAATAAGAAAAACTCCTCCATGTGTTACTCTTCCAATATTATAAATGTCATCCTTTGATATATTTTGATTTGTCCATCATTTTGATTTTGTTGCCACATCATCACGTCGGGTATGTTGTCTCGACTCTAATTTCTTCGTTTTAGCTCTGATTTGAGTAATTGAAAAGTTGTTGTAATCGTTATTCCCGTCCTTATACTGTGGACAGTTCAAAAAACTGAAAATAGTTAATAATTAAAAGTAGGTTTGTTATCATCAAAACATCAATAATTAATTCATTGAAATTAATTAATGTGAGATCAAGGGCCAATAAGCCAACAATCTCCCCCTTTTTGATGATGACAAATCATTTAAAGAAAAATTCATAAAAACCAATAATGCAACATCCATGTAATAATATCACTACATACTAATATATTATCATAAATTTCACTCAAGAGCATATTCTCCCTTATATTAATGCCTCAAGAAATTATGAAACACCAAGTAAATGATTCATAAATTATAAAATAACAAATTTAGAACATATTTTTCTTAATTTTCTCCCCCTTTGTAATCATCAAAATGAACAATTGAAAGAGAATGCATTTAATAATGACATAATGGCTCCCCCTAAAAACATGCATTCAAAAATTATAAAATTCAAGATATATCACAACGAATAATACCAAGCTCAAGCCTATTTTTGCAAAAAATTTCTTCATTCAATGGCTTGGTGAAAATATCGGCCAGTTGATTATTAGAGTTTACAAAATCAAGAATAATATGTCCATTTTGCACATGCTCTCTAATAAAATGATGTCTAATGTCAATATGTTTAGTTCTAGAATGATGAATAGGATTTTTAGTTAAATTAATAGCACTTGTATTATCACAAAATATAGGCACACTATGAAACTTTAATCCAAAATCACAAAGAGTTTGTTTCATCCAAAGAATTTGAGCACAGCAACTAGCAACCGCAATATATTCCGCTTCGGTAGTAGATAAGGCAACCGAATTTTGCTTTTTACTAAACCAAGAAACTAAGGAACTACCAAGAAATTGACAAGTTCCACTAGTACTTTTACGATCAAGTAAGCTTCCGGCAAAATCTGCATCAGAATATCCTACCAATTTAAATTCAACATTTCTAGGATACCACAATCCTAGATCAATAGTTCCAAGCAAATATTTAAATATTCTCTTAACGGCATGTAAATGAGATTCCTTAGGACAAGATTGAAATCTAGCACAAAGACATACACTAAACATAATATCGGGTCTACTAGCGGTCAAGTAAAGTAAAGATCCAATCATACCTCGATAAGCTTTAATATCCACACTTTTACCTTTTTCATCCTTGTCAAGCTTAGTGGATGTGCTCATGGGAGTTCTTGCAATCTTACCTCCATTGAACTTGAATCTTTTGAGCAAATCTTTAGTGTATTTCTCTTGATTGATGAAGATACCATTCTTGAGTTGTTTGATTTGAAGTCCAAGAAAGAAACTGAGTTCTCCCATCATACTCATCTCAAACTCACTATGCATACATTTAGAAAATTCTTCACATAAAGAAGGATTAGTAGAACCAAATATGATATCATCCACATATATTTGCACTAATAGCATATCGTTTTCTTTAATCTTAATAAAGAGTGTAGTGTCGAGTTTGCCCATTTTAAAATCATTCCCAATAAGAAAATTACTAAGTCTATCATACCAAGCTCTTGGAGCTTGTTTTAAGCCATAAAGAGCCTTTTTCAACTTATAGACATGATGAGGAAATTCTACATTTTCAAATCCGGGAGGTTGTTCTACATAAACTTCCTCCATAATATAACCATTCAAAAATGCACTTTTCACATCCATTTGATATAACACAAAATTTTTGTAAGAAGCAAAAGCAAGTAACATTCTAATAGCTTCTAATCTAGCAACGGGTGCAAAAGTTTCTTCATAATCTATGCCTTCCTCTTGACAATAACCTTGAGCTACAAGCCTAGCTTTATTTCTAATGATATTCCCATTTTCATCCATTTTATTTCTAAAAACCCATTTGGTTCCAATAATAGAAGTATTAGATGGCCTATGGACTAATTCCCAAACTTTGTTCCTTTCAAATTGATTTAGCTCTTCTTGCATGGCTAAAATCCAAAACTCATCATTTTCGGCATCCTTAAGACTTTTTGGTTCAATTTGAGAAACAAAAGCAAGATTATTAAATAAATTAATAGAAGAGCGAGTTTTCACACCTTGTTCGAGATCACCAAGAATCAAGTCCTTGGGATGAGACAAGGCATACCTCCATTCTTTTGGCATTGATGAAGAACCTTCTTCCTTTAAGCTCATCTCTTCTTTACTCGTAACAATTTCTTTGCCGTTGTCACTAACGAGTAAATCTCCAAAATTTCTTTCTAAATCATCACTACAAATAGACTCATTAGAAATATTATTGCAAGATTCATCAAATACCACATGCATAGATTCTTCAATAACTAAAGTTCTCTTATTGAAAATTCTATAAGCTTTACTGGTAGATGAATAACCAAGAAAAATACCAATATCCGTTTTTGAATCAAACTTTCCAAGTTTTTCTTTGTTGTTCAAAATAAAACATTTACAACCAAAAACTTTGAAATACCCAACATTTGGAATTTTGTTATGCCAGAGTTCATAAGGAGTTTTATTTAATGAAGGTCTAATTAAAACTCTATTTAAAATATAACAAGCGGTATTAACGGCTTCCGCCCAAAAATATTTAGGTAAATCATACTCATTTAACATTGATCTAGCAAATTCTTGTAAAGTACGATTTTTCCTTTCAACCACACCGTTTTGTTGAGGAGTCCTTGGAAAGGAGAATTCATGAGAAAAACCATTATCTTCACAAAATTTTTCAAAGGCAACACTGTTAAATTCTCCCCCATGGTCACTCCTAATTTTAGTAATTAAAAACCCTTTTTCATTTTGAACTCTTTTTACAAAACTAGCAAATCTTTTCAAAACATCATTCTTATGTTTTATCATCAAAACCCAAGTAAATCTTGAAAAATCATCCACTATCACAAAAGCATAATAATTTCCTCCATAACTAGCTATTTTAGAAGGGCCAAATAAGTCTATATGGAGTAGTTGAAGAGGTCTAGTAGTAGAAATCATATTTTTAGATTTGAAAGAAGACTTAGTTTGCTTACCCATTTGACAAGCGTCACAAATTTTATCTTTTTCAAATTTAAGTTGAGGGAGACCTCTCACTAATGAATTTTTTGAAATATTTGAAATCAAGTACATACTAGCATGTCCTAGTCTTCTATGCCATAGCCAAGAGTTATCAATCAAAACCGAAAGACATTTATCATTTGTAGGACAATCATTCAAATCAATAGTATACACATTATCGTCTCTATTTCCTACAAACGAAACTTTTCTATCACTAGCATTTTCAATTATGCAATTATTCTTATCAAATACAACTCTAAAACCTTTATCACATAATTGACTAATGCTAAGTAAGTCATGCTTTAAACCATCAACTAACAATACATTTTTAATGAGAGTACAAGAGTCATTACCTATAGTACCCTTACCAATTATTTTAGCCTTCTTGTTATCACCAAAGGTTACTAAGCCACCATCCTTCTTGGAAAGATTGACAAACTTGGATGGATTAC